CCCGAAAAAAAAAAAAAGAAAAAGAAAAGAAATAGATGCAGAGATATCAAATCAATGCAGTACAGCTTGTTTAAAATGAGATGGAACCCCCTTCTTAACAACAATACTGGTATTTTTTCTATTAAAGAATATCATGGTAAATGTTTACAAAACTCTAATATGCTATTAACTTTCTACCAAAAATAATAATAATAATATGCTATTAGCTAAACTTAGGAAGACAGTATTTTATGTACCACATGCAGGAGAAGCAAAATGCTCACATGTTGGCAGGAAAATATCACTCAGTTGAATCTATCACCCACAAGATTTCTACTCAATTTCCATATAGAAGGTCTGCAGAGGACACTGTGGTAAAGTTACCTCGTATGCTCAAGTTGACCTATCAATAGTGCTATGGTTTGAACAAGGAGGGTATCCCAATGAGGCTGTAATTGGAAAATTTGTTCGACAGCATATTTGTATTTGATAGGCATTCTCAGATGAATGACCAGTTAGACTTAAATCCAAGGGCTAACATCAGAGCAGAAAGATTATATAAGCATACACTTTTCATTCCTTCTTTCTCTTCTTCTTTTTATCCTTTCGATCTCTGTTAAGGACAACCATTTAAAGGCAGTCCTCTCAATCCCCATTCCAGAATCATCTTCCTTCGGTCTGCTTTTGAAAACGTATTACCTTTTCTAACCATCTTAACCAAATGAGTTATCAAGTTTATTTGTACTATTAATAGTATTTTTTTATAAGAAAAGAAAAAAAAGTTTATTAAAGAAAAAGAAAAGGAAAACTGAGTACAACCAAGAAGGTGCTAAGATAGCATCAAAAACAAGCATACTCAACTAAACAACAAGAAGGGCAGCAAAGCCACCAGAGAGCACAGCAAGAAACCCTTCTATAAGCAATTCAGATCACTGATCAAAATAAAAGCAATTCAGGTCGCCCCCAGAGACAACACCAACCAACAAACACAAACAAGCATACTCAACCAAACAACAAGAAGGGCAGAAAGGCCACCAGATAGCACAGCAAGAAACCCTTCTAAACAGCACAGCACTATTAATAGTATAACCACAGGAAATATTTAAAAAATACCAATTCCTAACCTAGGTAAGGATACTAACTGAGCTCTTAATTCTTTTCTTAATTCCAAAAGTCATTTTGGAAGAATCACCTACTACCTAATCAATATGGTTCGTTCCTGTATGGGATTAGGCACTCATTCCCAGGTACTGGTATCATTGCTCAGTGATCGCATATTGTCATGCTGGAAAAGATGGTATAGAAGCTTCCTCTTTCCCAGTAGGGTAGTTTAATCCTTCAAGTTAATGCCATAAGCAGCAAAAAGAACAGACTATCCTTTTAGTTCCTATCCATCCTTCAGTTTTCAGAGGGTTTGGGAGGGAAAAGGACTATTTGTTTATTTTGTAGCATAGGAAAAGCCTGGGTGATGCAAAAATAGAAGCAAGGAATGAAACCATGGAAGAAACTTAGAAACCAAGATTTTTGATATTCTTTTTTTTTCTTTTTGATAAATGAGAATAGTTTTATTAATTCAAAAAATAGTAGTACATTCAGCCTAGGAAGAGGCACAAGGTGTTACCTCCCCCTAGGACTGAGTCATAAACACTAAACAAACACAAGCCTGAAACACAGTTACAAAGTGGCCCAAAACAGATCTCCCCTTGACACCCCTTG